TAGTAGTAAAGTAATAGTAGTAGTAATAGTAGTAGTAATGTAGTATAGTAGTAATAGTAGTAGTATAGTAATAGTAGTAGTAGTAGTAGTAGTAATTATTATATTTTTTAATAGTAGTAGTAGTAGTGTAATTAGTAGTAGTAGTAGTAGTATAGTAGTAGTGTAGTAAGTAGTAGTAGTAGTAGTAGTAGTGTAGTAGTAAGTAGTAGTAGTAAGTAATAGTAGTAAGTAGTAGTAATAGTAGTGTAATAGTAGTAGTAGTAGTAGTAGTAGTAGTAGTAGTAGTAGTAAGTAGTAGTAATAGTAGTAATCGTAAGTAGTCGTAATAGTAGTAGTAGTAGTAGTAGTATAGTAGTAGCAGTAGTAGTAAGTAAGTAGTAGTAGTAGTAATAGTAGTAGTAGTAATAGTAGTAGTAGTAGTAGTAGTAATAGTAGTGGTGGTGGTGGTGGTGGTGGTGGTGGTGGTAGTAATGTAATGTAATGTACTACGCTGATCATTGAAATGTGAGGTTAAGAGAATGCACTCCAATCTTTCACGTTTCTCATTCAGTATCCTAATTTATTTAATGTCCGAGAGTAAATATGGCGTACAAAGGATTTTCTCGTCCTGGTATCAAGCCGGTGATTATTACGAGTTCGTTTAGGCATCATCCTCGTCCCCTCTGCGAGGGTAATGACTCTCCCAGCGTCACTTTCATACCTGTGATCTTAAAGCATTTTTTTTACTAAGTCTTTTTCTTGTTGGTGAAACACTAGTGGGTGGCAGTGATTTATCAATAGCTTAATGATGGTACATACGTAATACAAATGTATCATAATTATATTACAATAACTGCTGGGATTACTTAATATTGTAAAATGTGTGTATGCATGTTTTTGTATTTTTATTCAGAAAAAGAATAGTCAAAGGTGTATTTTTACTTCAAAATAAAAGTAGTGTTTGTTTGCAGGCCGTCATAACTTACACATGTTCGTGTAAGGTATCTTGTAAATAAGAACCTCCAGAAGGAGCCGAACGGGTAGGATATATTCTTTTAAACTTGCGCAAAGAGCCCTTATTTCTTATATTGAGTGACTGCCGGCCGCAACAGTGAATGCGAGGTTTGACGTGCGTGGCGTGTTGGGCGTGTTGCAGCGTACGGGAAGGTGTTCCTGGTGCGCAAGCGCGGGGGCGTGGACGCCGGGCGGCTGTACGCCATGAAAGTTCTGAAGAAAGCCACCATCGTGCAGAAGAAGAAGACGACGGAGCACACAAAGACAGAGCGGCAGGTCCTGGAGGCCGTGCGCCAGTCGCCCTTCCTCGTCACGCTGCACTACGCCTTCCAGACCGACTCGAAGCTGCACCTCATCCTTGGTAAGCGGGCGCCGACTGCTTTGGTCACTGTCCTCGTCATTATAGTGCATGTTACGGCATAGAGATGGCGATGTTCCGCCGCAGCTGAAACCGGGCGTCGATCTCCATGTTGACCTGTGGGATTTCCCCTGACAGGTGTCAGCGGGCACCACCCCAACCCGGAACTGCTGCCGGCTCCCGATTGGTCCCCTGACCCGTGCGGTAGTAAAGTGCACATGTACTTCGATTTAAACAGTCATTTGTCGTAAATAAGCTGTTACGGTGTCATCCAATCGGAAGCTTGAATGGCTCTAAATGGCCAAGCTCAGGTCGTTGTCTGCTTTCCCACCTAACCACGTAATAATCCAAATTTTTGGCATTATCCAACATTCGCCTTGAATTATTAAAAGGCACGGAAAACTGCCTGTCAAAGCAGCCAGCTGCTAGAATTCTCCTCCAGGCAGCGGCTGAATTCGAACACTTTTTGTAAATAGTGTATGAAATCCGCCACCGTCGGGACTCGAAGCCTATAACCTCTCGGTCAGACGCTGCCGCAGAAACGGGGTACTCTGAGCCATCTCAGCCGGACTTCTGAATTGGGGCATTTAGGTGAAATTAACTGTACCTAAACCTGTTACGGATAAAGTGCGAGTCTGACTAAATGCGAATTAGCCGATTAATGTTATGTGATGTAGAACGGGCAATATTCAGTCGAGTTCTATTACGTGGAATGTGATTTCATTACAAACTTATTTAAATGTACGGTCCACATGTAATTTCTTACGGAATTATGTATCGTGCTATATTCAAAACCTTCTTGAATTGCAATCCCACAGTTATTGGAGGCCGATAGCAGGTCGTCATGCGGGGCCCCCGGTCGCCCCCCCCGAGGGGAGAGAGGCCATTACGAAGGTATACTGCTATGGCGCGAACTGGGCTTTAGCGCCTTCGGGGGAAAAGGGAGCAAAAGCATCGACTAGGCTGCGAGTGACTCACGGACTTCCTTTGCCCCGGCCTTTAGGAGAGGACATTGCCAGCAGGCCTCACGCCCGCCGCCGTTCAATACTCCCCGCGACTCGCCGAGCATTACCCTCCCATCGACGTACGACGGGACGAAAATGGTCCATATTTACTTGAAAATAAATCTCTATTTTATTTGAGCATTTAGAACCTAATAAATAATGTTTTGCAAAATGTAAATATCTAAATTTGGTAGATATTAATTGGAATAGTTGATTACGGTTTAGACACCTTCAAAAATTGCAAGTATCCTCTTCCCTTCTGCATCGTTACGTTCATATGTTTAGTGCGTCATCAGGATTATTTCGGATGTGATTATTCTTAAAGCAGTTCGAAGGGCGGTGAGACATTTGACAAGACAATGGATGTCGTACAGTTTTCTAATTGCCTTACGTGACAGTTTAATAGGTCTGTAGTCTCTGGGCACCACACGATATCCTTTTGTCTGCTTCAAATGTATGCCCTACCTTGCATTGAATACATATAAAGGAAGGTATTGCATTCACTCTGGGGAATATGTTACCCAGATCGAAAACACATTTATGAAATACACTTAAAATGATAGTAGTTTTACATTATAATAGAAGTAAGCTTATTAGCTTTTTCATTTTTCATACCGTTAGATATATTTGGACAGGAAAAAATTCGACTTGACCCTTTCCCTATCCTGCTGTTGCTGACTCGCTGCTCCGGGCGGACATCTCCTTCCTTACGAACTTCCCGCGCATGTGCAAATAATTAAAGTTGGAGCAGCTATTTATTGTTCACATTAATTCAGGTTGTAATGATATTTTTACCTTCTCAGAGGCGGTCCAAAAAGCATTTTTAGCACAACAAAAAATGCAAAGCAAAAAACATTTTTGGGTGCGCTTAGATTACAAAGAAATTTAATTGTTTAAACAGTAGATTTTAGATTGCAGATTTTAACAGCACAGTTTGTATAATGTAAACTTTAACCGACTAATTTTTGAATTAGAAACCGAGTTTAGCTGTCTGTATTCGTATGATATTTGAATCAACTTGAGAAATATAAATATCATAAAGGTATTTGATACTTTTGAGTTAATGTTAACGGAGGCAGCCACCTCTTTATTGAGCTTTTGCTTTGTAGCAGGCATGAGAGTGGGGGCAGCAATGGGCCGGTAGCTTAGGAAGCGATTGGTTTTGCGGCGGCGGGAATCCGTTCTCTTCCTCCGTCGGCAACGCTCCCACGCTCCCATGCCTGGCGCAGTCCCTCAGACTGTTTTGCCTCCTCTCTCCCGTCTCTAAATGCCTAGTGCATCGCGCAGACCACCGCGCAACAGATCGAAAGTCCCCCGTATTGCAAAATGTTGTAGACTGTCTCAATTCATTCGCTTTAGTTCCCCTCTGCTCACCACAAAGGAAATCTGTTTTGTTTTTTCTGTCGCATCAAGCTATAGGTTTCAGAATAGTTGAATTATATGTAAAAAACAAAATGCTGAATATGAAACAATTTTTCACAATTAAAATGTCCATTAATTTAGTAGTACATAAACGGTTTTGATTTAAGTTTTGCAATATCAGTTTATAAATAAGTACATACAGTAAATAACGCATTGAAAACCTACTAGTGCGCTAAGATTGAGTGTGATTGAGTTTGTAAATGGATTTAATTCTTAATGGTGGCGAGTCTGATGCCTTTCGATTGGCGGCACTTTGTACACTGAACACGTTCAACATGGAATACCTTCAGAGAATGACAGGTCATGTAAGTCAGCAGTTTATTACGCTGCTGTATTATAGACGAGTTACTGTAAGAAGGTACCAATTTGACACTACGGGAAACAAATAAACGTCATACAGGGCGAAGTCATTGCAAAAGATAGGGATGAAAACATTTTCAAATGGAGCTAACTATAACGAACGCATTGACAAAATATGTGTGTGGACATCACTGCTGGCAACATAATTGCAGGTTGTCGAGCAGAAGCTTCAAAAGCGGTCCCTTCCTATAGTAATCTCTCTCTACCTACCAGGGAGTTTTCAGGCCTCGAGGTAGTTACTTAGCTTTTCGTTTACACTCGCCGTCGTGTGCGCAAGGATGCACCTTCAGACTATAATCTAGATACTCCAAAACAAGTGGTCTCGAAATACGGTCCGCAGGCTACATCCTTCCTCGACAGTATTCTATGTGTCTCGCCAATCCAAAGTACATTCTAATTCAGTTTATTCGTGACAGGGGCTGTAACATTTTATTGTAAAACATAAGAATATGGCTTCCTATTGTTAGACACTCTTTGGTTCACATACCAGCCATGTAGTGAGTGTCTTGCCATTGTGTGACTTACGTACTGGACATTTTAAAGACATTTTAATAATGTGAAAAAAGAAATTGAGCTACAAATTCACTTTTTGTTGGACTAAAAACAATTTCATTGCCCTCAGTAAGGTGTTTTATAAAATTATTTATCATTTCTATATTTTAAAAAAGAAGTCCACAGTTGTAGAATTTTAAATTTCGAAATTTTAAAATTGTAACCCGCAATGCGTATTAATTACAAATTGTTAAAAAATTGCGTGCTAATATGTCCGTAGGTGTTTTAAGACTTAATTGTGAATTATTAACTGTTTTGTCATTCTTTAATAAAAATTTAATTTACAAAATAGGGAATTTATTCCATCATATCGTGAAATTTAATTTTTGGCCCTCGGGGCACTTAAAAAGTTCCTATCCGGTCCCCGAAGAAAGTTTGGAGAATCCTGCTCCAGAGCGTAATGATCTTGCACATTTACTTATAGCGTGGGTGGGGCCAGCTCGAAGCTTACAACTATACAGGTTTGTACTGGAGTCACACGCTACTTACATACGTCGGCACAAGTCGTTCATCAGTTGCCTCTAAGAAAGGACGAATCCAAGACCTCATGCACAATGCAACCTAAAACGTAAACATAACATAGCCACAAAACCTAGAAAAGAGTTATTAAGCGAGACCATTCACAACTCCCTGACGTAACCGTAATAGTAAATCCGTAAACTAACGAGATCACAAGCACCAAGCTTTAACGTCAAGTTTATGGCGGAATTCTACCTAAGACCAATCTGAGTAGCACGAAAGAAACAAACATGGTGGATTTTAGATTAGGTTCAGGCAGTTTGTGGTTGTCATTTCATTACAACCTTCAGTTCTGAACTAGTTTGCGTACGGTTTTGATCCGAGTAGTGAATTCAAAGAAGGAATGTGAGCCATTTTCTTGTGACTTCCAATTGACATGGCGAATAAAATAATTACGTTCGACGAATTACTTGTGAATTTAGTGCGAAAGAGTGCTTGTTTACAAAAAAGAGCGACTAATATAACAGCTACTCACATTTATATATAAAGACAAATCGGCAGTAAACTATAAATACATATTCAACAATTCAGAACTAGTACATTACGCCGCAAACGGGGCCAGGCCGCAGCATGGACAAAACTTCAATTGCTCCAACCTGTGTGCCAACGTTGCTTACATTAAGCTATTATTCATTTCACACAAATCATTACATATTAATAATTACAACAAGAAAAATGTATTCAAATTGATCTTCGCTGGCAAATCTACTAAACAATAATTAAATACTAAAATATTTAAGTAACCATGTTTTTAATTTATCAATTATATTGACACACTAATTTTAACATCATGATCAAAGAACATGAAATGAGGGCCAAAATTATCATGTAGTAAATACATATATTAAGACAAAAAGAATTATTGAGTTACGTCAAGCATTCCGCAGTTTGAATCACTTCATCACTTCGATTTACAACACGTGAATCCAAAATACTGTGGGAGGGCTGCAGATGAACATGAAATGGAGACATGCACTTTTTGAATTTGTTGAGAAACAGGTTTTGAACTGCACTCATGCAAACGTCTGCGCTGAGATACTCCGACGAACTCTTATTTCGCTCTGCCTGTGGTCCCACACTCAGACTACTTGGAC